CCCCAAAACCCCAAAACCCCAAAACCCCATAAATCCAAAAAGAATTAAAATGCAGTAAATATGGAATTAAATAGTATAACAATTATAAGCTAAAAATATTAGTTGTCTCTAAATAATATCTCATTAACTATTTCAATATTAAATGATTCTACTAGTGATTTGGATTTAAATGGCATATTGCTTTTCATATTCAGATTAAGCAGACTCATGAATCCCTCATTATAGAGATTTACTATTTAACACAGAAAAACTATGCTTCACCCCAAAACCTTCTTCAGCCTTTCCTTAAATACTTGGAGGACTGATAGGCAATACGTATTTCAAATGCGTAGATTATGACTCAAATTCTAAGTCTTTTTTAATAGCAGGAGCTTCACAATCGACAGATATTGTTTAATATTCATCAACAGCTACAATTATTAGAATTGATTAACAAAACGGATAATCCTTGTGGCATAATCAAGTTTTGTACAGTTAATCTTCTCTGATTTCTGAAATAATGCCAAATTCTTTCTCATAATGCTCTTTTTAAGATTCTAATGGCCCATACATTACCGCACTAACAGATAATCCAAATTATGGAATTATTATACTTGACAAAGATTCAGGCTAAATCCTAAATTCTTACTATGAATTTGACACTTCCACTAGCACTATAAAAAGCTCTAAAGTACCGTTGGGTGTAAAAATGTTAAGTAACAATTAGGTGATTTTTATATTGTAGGATTCCTATGCTGTTTTAATTGGTTCTTTTATTTACAGTAAGAATTAACTAGCGATAACTAGTACTTTCTACAGATCTAATGGAGATTCTGCCAATTAATTCTAAGGGAAAAACCTATTTGTTTACTATGGATCAATTAGCTATCTTTATGTTGCAGGAAGCCTGTAAGGAAATCTTGCATTTTCTAAGCATAAATTGACTGATGGGACAAAGGATTACCTCTCCAAGGTAGCAAATAGTAATGGTCTTGCAAGTCAGACTTTTGGGGTTCTTAGTTATTACTAAGACAATTCTCTATCAGCAGTCTAATTGGTTGGATGTGGATAAAATCTTGGAGCAGATTCTAATGATTTAGCCTTACTATATTACTAAGAGATTCTAGGTGGTACACTATTATTAAAGTCATGGCTAATGGACTTTACATCAAAATCAAAATGCATAGATATTAAGCTTGATAGCACCAAATCAACTTTCTTAATATTCTTAGAAAATCAAGCGGTATATTCAGGTTCTGTTACTTTAAATAGCAACACTAATCCGATATCCTTGACTTAGATAAGATTTACTTCTTCATTGACATAAACCATTTATGTTAGAAGTGGCCACTTTACTGATACTTCATCATATTTTGTGGGATCAACTTCTTAAATTAATAGCATCTCCTACTCTAAACAAGTTGGGTTTATTTCTTAGTTCACATAAATTAGCTGCCTAGATTACATTCCTACTACTTTAAATTAGAATGTGGAAATTTAAACTTCTTTTTCTTATTCTCTTATAAATGGAACACCTAAAATATATAATCCAGCCTTAGCTCTTTATATATCTTCAACTCAAAGTATAACTTTCAAAGCAGTTCAGGGGTTAAAAACTATTAACATCACTTAACTGAATTCCTAATAATTGCCAGCTACTTGCTTATAAAAAGAATCTCTGGGTATAATAATAGCTCCGGCATTTTTAAACACCTATCAATACACTGTTAACAGCACTACTTTAAGAATTATCTTTAATGATTTCAGTTATAGCATCACAGGGTGTGTTGATGAAACTTGGCTATACTCAGCTAAACTCTTTGATGGATCATCTCTTCCAGATTTTGTCACTTTCACCAAGAAAAGCTATGGCTAAGGCAGTTATATTGAAATTTACACGTAAGATAACTCTACAGCTGGTTCCCTTTAAATAAATTTAGAAGCTACAATTTCAGGTATCTTATCAAAATCTATAAATTTCAAGATAGTTATAATTCCTCTTCCATCACCACCTTAACTCCCAATTAATGAAACAGCTAATCAAACTAATTAAACTACTGAAAATAATTCTGCTTAAACAAATAATACAAATTCAGAAGATGCTACTAATACCACTGACCCTGGAATTAATAATACAGATGGAGGAGCAAATAATACGAATTTAACTGACATTACAAATAATACCACACCCTAATTAAACAACACTAATTCTTCTGTTAATTTAAATAATACAAATACAACTACAGATAACACCAGCTCATCTTATAACCAAACTTCAGCAAATTAAACAGCCAATAATACCTCTTCAACAAATTATACTTAAACTAATAGCACTGGCTAGAATACTACTAACTCAACATAAAATTAAACTATTGATAACACCACTAATTCTGGAGGTACTACCATTTCAGATCCAGGCTCGAATTAGTCAGCAAACATTACTCAATAATTACTAAATTTAACTGAGATTTGCCCAGAATTAAGTGGAAGAACTGATGTAAATATGAGAGGTCCACCATTTTTCATCACTGATTTAAATCAAAGCTATAAAGTATAAGTAGAGGAAAATATCACGATTTAATTTCCATTAATATGCAATCCTACAAACAAAAGTTACACACAAAAACTGTCCTAGCTATTAAATTCTAAGATATCCAGCTTTATTTAACTAAAAAATCAATCTATTTTTGCATCACCCAAATAAGCTGACTATGGAAACTACAGTTTGATTATAAGCTTAGATTTAGATAACTAAACTTAAACAGCAAACAATTAGTATTTAGTCATATTAGAAGTTCTAAAGTATCCAAGTTATTGAAATATGCCGATAATTAATATTCCTTAAAATCAAAACTCCTAAAATAACTTGACTGATCAAAATTAAACATTGATAGATAAATAACTATCAATGAAACTGGATTTATTCGATAGAGGTGGTAGAGCGCATTTGAGATTTAACAAATAACTTGTAATACCAAACAACTTCAAAGATTTAATAAAAAATAGCATGAAAATAATCGCTAATGGAGATGAAAATGACAGTACTTTAAAGTCTTGGTCAGTAAATTCATTTGATGGAGAGATTTTGGTTTTAGACTTAATTTTTGATGACAAGTATGATATTTCAATCAGAGATATCAAAGACTTAATCAATATTAAGATAACGAATCCAGCATCTTTTGTAGCTAAAGATACAAAACTTCCTATCAGTTTACCTCAAGAAGTTTAAGTAGAATTACCTACTTAAATAGGAGATGAAGGCGAAATTGATGCACTCAAGTCGACGAATGAAATGATTTAAGCACTTCTTAGTACATCTTTATACAGTTCTATGATAATAAGTACTGCTGCTGGCTCAAGTCTTTAAGCTTTGTGGAGTTTCATTAATACTCTATAGCTAGTTACCCATACTCCTCTTTTCTAGATTTAGTATACAGCAAATATTCTAATGTTCTTCCAATCAATATTTCAGCTAGCTAATCTTGACTTTTTTAGCATTTCAAATCTTTTGAAATTTGTCTTTAACCTCAAAGAATCAGAAGAGTATGATTACTATAATGTAAGATTTCAGTTTCTTGGCTATGATAACTCTAACTTTCTTTACCTAATTGGAGCTCCTCTGGTATTTTTCTATTTCTATATGGGTTTGACTTTCATTTATTTTGTTTTAAGAAGATTCAAGTTCTAAAGAATTTAGAAAATAGCATAGCGTATAAGCAATTACTTGTTTTTCAATCCTCTAATAATCTTTTTCATAGAGCTATCATTGGAAGCAACTATCGCAATGATTCTTAACTTCAAAAATCCCGTTTCAGAAAATTTTGGAGAAGTTTACTCATACCTTTTTGGATTATTTTTCTTTATGACAATTATTTGTTTAGCTCTATTTTTACCAAATATATTGATTAGATTTAGTTAGAATTAGTTTACTTAGGAGTACAGCTATGCAGTGAAAAATAGAATATCTGAAATTATTAAAGTTCTTGATCTAGAAAAGAGTACTTATGCAGCATATCACTATTTATTTTTCTTTTTTAGAAGACTATTTTTTGTTACTCTAGTATTTTGTTTTGAGGAAGTTTTTGCTGTGTAATCTCAACTATTTATTATTACAAATTTGCTTCAATTGATGTATTTGATATATTTGAGACCTTTAAAAGAAAATTTTGGAATGGAAGTATTTAATGAAATGTGCACTTTATTTATTGGGGATTTTATGATTGTTTTTAGTGATTGGGTATCTTCAGGAAAAGTAAAATTCTAATTAGGATATGTTTTTATAGCCTTATACAGTTTTAATGCTGTTGTAAACATCATTTATATATTTACAAAGCTTATCTACAGAGTTTACTATAGGATTAAAAAGTTTTTCTTACTTAGAAAGATAAAGAAATATTTATTGGTCAATCAGAAAAATATGCTCAAAGTATCACTTTTAGCATAATCATAGTTAAAGAAGAGTCCATTAAAATAAACACCAAAATAACTTAATATGTTCTCATAATAAAATAAAGACAGTTTTACTAATGAGTCATTTGATGATTCTAAGAGATTTCTTTTAGGTAAAATAAACCCTTCTTCCAAAAAATCATCTTTTATCAAGAATAAAGCTGAATTGCTACGGATAATTGATATAGAACAAGAAAATAATGAAAGTCGATCCTCTGTAATCTTAAAAGAAATAGATCCCATTAAAAAAGACTCCTCCATAAATTAAAATTTATCAACATTTTAAGGAAATATTTCCAAGCAGGATTTCAAATTAAAATAATCTATTCAAATTCCAAATAAAAAAGAAAGAAAAATCTATTAATTACCATCAATTGAGATTGATAGAAGCTAGTCACCTAGAAGAGGAGCAGGACAATCATCGAAATCAATATCCTAATTTAGCAATTACCAAGTCAACACGAAAACATCCTCTAATTTACTACTAGTACCGATTAGTAAAATTTCATAGGTATTCCAGTAGTTACCACAAATAGATGAATCACCAACAAGTTATACTAAAGTGCCCTCTACATTCAAAATTTAGTAATTTTAACGAAGAGCATAATCAAATTAACAAAATAAATTAAGCAACTAAAGTAACTACCTCAATGAAGAAAAATTTAATTTCCATTCTGAGATAGCTAGTTCTCCAAAAGTTATTAAGCAAATAAATGAGGAAAATAAGGAATTTGATGATATTGAATTTAATAATTCTTAAAATTTCTTTCCAAAATAATAACCGACTCAAAAGCTATCTAATATTTTGATAGGATAGTACTCTTAAAGAGCTGTTTTTAGTCCCTAGAAGGAGATTAATTACACTTAATTTAGTTATAAGCCTCTTACTCCGGTTAAAATAAATTAGAGTGTGATTTTGAAATCTAAATTTAGACAAAATTTGCTGTAAGATGAAACAGTAAAAAATATTGCTTTTGATAATACTTAGACAATTTTTGAAGCCTAGAGTGTAGGTAAAAAAACATAGAAAAAAAAGAAAAAAAAGAAGAAAAAAAGAAAGAAAGGTAAGAATTAGATAAGCAGCTAAGATGCATTTAGAAAGAGTCTAACAGACTTTAATAATTAATAAAGAGATAAATAATTATGATAATAAGTCCTAGGAAATTGAAAATATTAATTAAAAAATTAATAGTATCAAGGAGATTATATTATTAGTGAATTCTTTTTACCTTTATTACTATTTGTCTCATGGGGTTTTGGGGTTTTGGGG